TTATCCACATTTTGTCTCATTACATCCACAAACTTCAGTGTTTTCCTATGATTTTATGTGACAAACCAACACAAAGTAGAGAAATGTGACGTAAAAAGAACATTTGTATTCAGCCCTCCAGGGTCTTAACTTTGTAGAACCATGTTTCTGTGTGACTCCAGCTGGTTTGTTTCTGATTAATGCCWCTAAAGACTAAAYTTTGTCCCACTCTTCTTTGTGAATCAGCTGCAGCTCAGTCAGGTTGGATAGAGAGGGTCGGTCAGGTGAACTTTAACTGGACCTTCCTAACATGTGAATATGGTTTGATGGTTCCTACCTGGCTCCTGTCAGGCTGCCAACACAAACAAGAGCTTTCTTCTTGTCTCTCCTCATAAMGGACAGATTGTCCAGAGTTACCCTGGAGCTTCTCGGCTCACCTGTCAGCTCAGGTGGGCGATCATGTCTTGGGTTGTGTCGTACTCTGTTTTCAGATGATGGATTCAACAGAAATTTAGATTATTTATCTAGATTACTAGATTATTGCAGGGCTATCAGAGGGCCACAGTTACTGCAGACCAATAGCTGAGGGGCCGAACATCCAGAAATTAAAGTTATTATGTAAATAAATCAAGTATTACAAAGATCTGTTACCTTTGATTTAGTTTATTTTGCTGCATTAATCATGAATACAACATGCAGAACTCTATGCAATAAATGTAGTATTAAAACATCAGAAACTAAAAGCACACATTATGCCTCATATTTAACACAATTTTTTAATTAACACCATAGTGCCACATTGTTGATACAATATGATGTTTTTTTGTTTGTTTTTTTCCTCATCTTCCCTTGTGTGGTTTTTAGTTTTTCTGTTCTTAAAGGTAGCACAACTGTGTTTGCTGCATGACCGGTTCCACCTGTTCTCCCATGTTTGTCTTGTTTGTCTTCTTGAATGGGTGTGTCTTAACTGGCCCCTCCCCCTCCCCTGAATGTACAGCACCTTGTGAATTTATTTCTGTGAAAGGCGCTTTATAAATAAAACTTTACTTACTTACTAAATATTATTTTATCATCTCTCACTTTCCAAATTTTACTTTTTTAAACCAGTTTTAATTTTACTTTCATAGTTTTATCTTCACCTGCTTGTACTTGTGTCTGTCTTGGATGTTCATAGAAAAGGTTTTTATCAGCTTCTAGCCAAGATTCTGATGTAATCGTAAAGTAGAAAACTTGGATTTGGGCTTAAAAGATGAATGAAGCAACTGCCTGCCAGTTGAATACCCGTGGATTATTTTATAGCCAAACCCTGCTTTAAACGTCTCAACAGGTTAGTCTGTGACCTGTCTGCTGTCTACCTTGGTCTAACACTAATGTAAGGAACGTCTGAGGCTGACACAACATCTGGGTTAATCCTCAGATGAGATGACACACAGGTGGAGCAGCTGCTTCAGAAGTCAAAGTATAAATACAGGCCAACGCTTTCAGGCTTTTAATAGTAAAAACAATATTTAAAACATTCACATCACTTCAGCATTATGAGCCACAGTGAGGGTTAGGAGTGACATGACAAAACATTACGTGAGGCAGTGTAAGTTTAYACCTGAATAGATAATTACCTGAACAAATTACACAGGTGTGATGACTGTTACATTGATTATTAATGATTGTTTTTTTTTTGTGTGTTTTTAACCAAGAAGCAGAAACTTGTAAAACAGTTGCCTCTGGAGAACATCTGCCTGGAAACAGATTCTCCTGCTCTCGGTCCAGAAAAACAGGTCAATATATTGAACAGTATTTTATAACTGCGTTTAAAGTAAGACCTCACAGGTGCCTAAACAAGRCACTCTGCATTTTAAAATGTACTTAAAATCAGTACACAAGTTTGTCATAATAATGGTTGTCCAACCCCAGTTCTGAAAAAGTCGGACCAATGTGTGATAGTTGATAAAACAAACAGAATG